CCTCCCCAGCCCACCCCATGACCCCCCCACCCTGTGTCACCCTCCCCATGGCAGCTGCTGGCCCCACAGAAGCAGCACATCCCTAAAATTCCCCTCCTTTTCACATGGAGCAATATTTTCCTTCACTCCAAGGTCCCCAGCCCTCATTTCCCAGCCCGTCCTCCTGCTGTTAAAGGGATTGGGCTGGATAAAAAGAAAGGATTTTGGCACTGCAGATTAGGTTCCCCAATAACTCTGGAAGCTCCAGTTCTCCTTCCTCCTTCCCCGGGGGCCTTGGGAGCTCCACTCCTACCAAAGTCAGTGCTGACAGAACAAACCAGGAGCGGTTCCTGCCCCTCCAGTTACACCAGGAATTCTTGGCAAACCTGAACTCCGTCAATACGTTGTGAACAAAAACACAGGGCAGGGGTGTGGGGTGGAATCACGGCGGCCTTGAGCTGGTTTTCCTTAATTCCCATGAACAGCAAAGGGTTTTTTTCTACTGGAAAAAATCAGGAGGGGCTGTGGAGCACCACAAATGCTCTGGGACAGTCCCCATGTCCCTCGGTTTTCCAGCCCATCATCCTGCACTATATCCCTGATTCTGAGGCAGCTCCTCGGACCTGCATTCCCAGAGCCTGATCCAACAACAGATCCCGGGACATCCCTTCTGGCCCCCAAACCACGACAGCAGCGCTGCCCCAAGCCCCCGCATTGTGCAGGGCTGCAGACAGACAGACAGACAGACAGACAGACAGGCGGCTCCCCCGCCCCGGCCTTTCCCCCCGCGCTGTCTCAGCGGGGATTAGCAAAGCCCAGCCCGCGGCTTTGCGCTCCCGTTTCCTGCCGCCGGGCAAAGAGCCGCGGGGTCACCCGGCCACAGACACAATGGCCCTGCGGGGCTTTGCGGTGGCCCGGGTCACCCTCGCCAGACGCTGCCTTCCCCTCCAGGTCGGCACCGGGCCAACAGCGCCGGGAAAACGCCGGGAGAGCCCCCGGGCCGGGACTCGCAGCGCTCCAGCTCCCGCTTCCCGAGCTCCCCCCGGCATCCCCGCGGCCGCAGGAGCTGGGACACCGCCGAAATCACGGCAATAGCCGCAGGCACGGACGGTTCTCCAGTAAAAGAGCAAAGCCTGAGGTGTCTTTCCAAATGCAGGCAGGGAAGAAAACAACAACAACAACAAAGGAATTCTGACTGAGCGGCAGCAGCTCCGCGGAGCGCTGTGAGCGTGCCCGGCCAGCAGGGATCCAACCTGGGAGGGAGGCATCACCTCGGCGGGGTGATGCTCTCCGGCACGGCAGGATTCCCCCAGCCGGCACCTCCGGCCCTCTCCCCCATCCCTGTTCGTTCCTGCATGTTCTGTGAGCCCGCAGTGGGGTTTGGGAGCGTTGGCACCAGCGCAGCACCTGCTCTGGAGCAGTAGGAGGGCAGGAAAACGTGGAGGTTGTCCAGTGTCTCCCAGTGATCAGCTCTGCTGTGCTTCCCAGGAGGAATCTGATCTCCTGATCTCCTCTGCTTTGATCCAATCCAACACAAAACCACAAAAGGGCTTCTGGTGGGTGAATCCCAGCTCAGAGCCAGACCAGCACAGAGCCATCCTCCTCCTGCCTCGGGGTGTGCTGGCAGAGCAGAGATCCCCCCCACTGCATCCTCCCCCCGGAATTCCAGGCATTTGCCCTGGAGCAGAGGATGCAATGATAGCTCTTCAGCAATGAACGAGCTGTAGAGAAGGCAAAAGTCCTGCCCAAGGTCACAGAAGAGTTCAGAGAGCTGGAGATGGAGCCTGAGCTCTCACCAGCCCATTGCTCTGCCCCTTGCACTGACCTGCCACTGATACTGTTCTGCCAGGCTGCAGTTCCAGAGAGCCATTACAGACACAACACACAGAGCATTCCCATCCCAGGGAGCTCCAGGTCAGACTGGAAAAGTGCCTGAGGCAGTTAGAAACCCAATGCCTTCAGCTCTTGCCGTGCCTGGATCAGGCCGGGCTCCACAGGGAGTTTGAAATGAAGCCTAATCCCAGTGTGCCGTCAGGAGTTGGGGATCCTAAGTGACACTGCCTGGGTTGTTGCAGTGAGTTTTGGAGTCATCCCATGGATTTCTGCATCCAGCCATGCAGTGGCTGAGGCACTGGTGCCTCCCCACAGGTCTCATCCTGCTCCTGTGCTTCCCACAGGTCCCATCCTGCTCCTGTGCTTCCCACAGGTCCCATCCTGCTCCTGTGCTCCCCACAGGTCCCATCCTGCTCCTGTGCTCCCCACAGGTCCCATCCTGCTCCTGTGCTCCCCACAGGTCCCATCCTGCTCCTCTGCTCCCCACAGCAGCAGGGATCAGGTGAGGAAATGTCTCAGCAAGAAGCTTGATGGGCACAAACCCTGGGGAGCAGCAGGACGCTGGGAGATGGTGGGAAACAGGAGAGGTTGTAATTTGTAACCCAGAGCAGGAGAAGGGCTGCTTTCTGCATGGCTTGGGTCTCCCTTGGCCCCTGTCTTGCAGAGGGAGGTAGGGCATGAACCATCCCGGGGAGGGGATGGATGAGTGTGGACCATGGGGAGCCAAGATTGCCTGGTCAGTCCCAGGGGACAGAGGGACAGCACTGCTGGGAACAGAGGACATGCTGATCCCACGGACAGCTGTCCATGGAGCTGCACCTCCCTTCTTGGCACCTTCCCTCTGCCCTCACCTCCCACCCAGCACACGAGGAATCTCAAGCCATGGTATCCCTTGCTCCCAGCAGAGCAGAGGAAGCTGCTGGGGAGGTGTGAGTGGAGCTCCCTGAGCCCACCACAGCTGTAACTCACCGTGAAGGTCTGCCAGTCCTCCCTGGAGTTCCTCCAGAGGACGATGGTGGGCACACCAGGGATGCCCACAGGGCCTGGGTCACCTGGGGGGCCCGTCCTGCCCACGGCTCCAGGGTATCCCTGGGGAGACAAGGGATACTTTAAAAATACCTTGAAACCAGCCAGAGGTTTAACAGTCAGCACAGCTTCTGACTCAGGTCAGAGTGGGGCACATTCTGGGCTTCAAACCAGCTCTTGGGATCTAAATAACCCTGGAAAGGGGGAAAGAAAAATGAGCTTCCTACACATGTTCCTGTGCCCAGGCCCATCTAAACACCACCAGTACAGAAACTGTTGTTGACAGACATTGGGTGGGGCAACGAGTTTGCCCCTCCACAGCTTGGGGAAGATGGGAAGTGCTGTGCAGAGGTGGGCAGGAGCACCTGCTGGTGGGGACACTGGGGCACCACCCTCAATGCAGACCATCCCCAAGCATCCCCCAGTGCAGCAGCAGAGCAGGCTGGGCCATGTGGCCACTGCACAGGGGGTTTCTGGAGGAGGAAGGGCAGTCCTGGGTCTCACCAAGGCAGAGCTGGAGGACAGATGTCCCTCTGACATGATTCCATGGATATAGCAGGGGGCTTTTCATCCTTCCTCCGGGTGACCTGAGCTAAAGCTGCTCCACCTCCTGGCTCTGCTGCCTCTGCAGCCTCTGCAGAGCCATTAAGCGGCTCAGAGGAAAGACAGCAGCTTGTCTTGAGCTCAGTCCTGAGCCTGGGCTTAAAGTACCCACTAAAACCAGTTCCTTCCTCTTCCAAATGCACAGAAAGGGACACCACCCTGCAGATTCAGAAGCTCCCACTGCTGTCTTGATGAAAAACACCCAAACCAACCCAAACCATGCATGATATTTGTCCTGGACCCTAAACCCCACACTCCACATTCCCCTAATTTTCTGGGTACTCACCTTGTCTCCTTTGGGCCCCACCAGTCCCCGTCTGCCAGGACAGCCCTGAAAGGCAAAAGAGAAGAGTTGTGTCACCCCAAAAGGGGACCCCACAGTGACTGGGTGAGCAGTGCCACAGCTCCAGGGAAGCAGGAACTGAAATGGCTGGTTCAGAGCAAACCAGCAGCACCAAGTCACCAGGAAACATCCCAAAAACTAGGGGGGTTGAAAGTGTCCCCTGGTTTATGCCGCTCCTGCCCTGGCATCAGCAGCCAGCTCTGCTTGGGTGGCTGAGCTGCACAATCCTGAGGCACCCACTCCAGAAATGCCCTGCACCACATGGCCAGGGAGCAGGAGCACATCTCCTGACACCTGGTGAGGAAAGGCAGTGTGCTAGGGAAAAAAAAATCCCATAAATTTGGATCAAGGCCATCACCCAAACAGTAGTTCGGACGAGGACACAAAGAGCTGCTGCTGTAACTGGAGCTCTGAGTTGGCCCAGCTCGAGGCAAAAATGCACATTTTGGCCAAGAGGGGACCCCACTTCAGGGCTTATCAAAGCATGTCTGGGTAGAACAGCCAGGTGGGAGATCCTGGCTGCTTTGGAGGATGGGAATTCCCCTGGAAGATGTCGGCAGGGGCTGCCAACCCGCCGGGCTGTGGCACAGCACCCACCCGTGTGTGCTGCAGAGCTGAGCCTTTGACAGCTTCATTTACAGACCCCAGACTTGGTCTGAGCTTGCAGACAGCCTGGGCTGAGCCTGGAGCAAGGCTGGGAATCCACAGGGAATGAGCAACCCCCAGCACAGCCCCGGCTGCAGCCATGACCTCACCGCCTTGTGCCAACAGGATGGGCAGGGGCACTTTGGCACGAAGAGATGCTTCACCAAAGGGACTCTCATCACCTGAAGTGCCCAAATCTAAAGCCCAGTTCCCCTTCTGTGGGCCCCCAGAGCCCACCTGCCCTCAGCCTGGGGAGCAGCAACCCAGCATCAGGGAAGGTTGTCAGGCTTGGCTCATATTTTAACCAAAATAATGGCTCATGCCTGGCATGTGCCACCACAGAGTTTCAGTCCTACACAGAATCCCACACTGGGCTGGGTTGGAAGGGACATTAGAGATCATTTAGTTCCATCCCCTGCCATTGGCAGGGACACCTTCCACTAGATCAGGTTGCTCCAAGCTCCATCCAACCTGGCCTTGGACACTTCCAGGGATGTGACAACCTGTTCCAAAATGGATGAAATGAAAGAAACAGGACAGAGGGACACAACAGGACAGAAGGACGTGTCAGGATGGAAGGACACACCAGCCCATCCCCCTGTGGCCACAAGTGTCTTTGTCTCCTCAGCTTGGCCACAGTGATTTTACAGAAGCTGCAGTGGCTCCAGGGGAAGGAGAGCCAGGCTTGGCTGTGCTGGGTTGTTCTTCTGGTTGTTCTTCTCCCTGATTTCCTCTCCCCTCTTCTCCCTGCCCCTGGTGCCTGGAGGGGGCAGGGACACCTGAGGTGCCAGGATGGCTCTCTGGGTGGCTGCAGGGTGTTGGAACTCGGGCTGCTCAGCAGCCTGACCCCCAGCAAACCAAATCCTGGGACCATGGGATGACCCAGGTTGGGAGGAACCTCAGGAGATCATCTGGTCCAAGCTCTGTGGGTGAGGGAGCCCAGAGGAGATGGTGCAGCACTCTGTCCATTGTGTCCTGAACACTTCCAGCCACAGGGAGTCCCTGGGGAGGTTCTGAGACTGATTGTTCTCCCCAAAAGAATTCCTTCTTGCATCACTAGCCCAGGGTGCTCCAAGCCCCATCCAGCCTGGCCTTGGACATTTCCAGGGATGGGGCAGCCACAACTTCTCTGGGCAACCTGTGCCAGGGCCTCCCCACCCTTCCAGGGAAGAATTTCTTCCTAATATCCCATCTAAACCTACTCTCTGTCAGTCTGAAGCCATTCCCTCTTGTCCTTTCCCTCCATGCCCTTGTAAAAACTCCCTCTCCACCTTCCTCCCTTACTCCTAGTGCCAGGATAGAGCTGCTGGTACCTGTGTTTCCACCCAGGATACTCAGGATTGAGGAAAAAAAAAACCTCTCCAAGCTTTCTACAGGAGAGAAAAGCAATTCCCCTCCTGGCTGGGTCTCTCCTGTCTGCTGACAGCAGGGCTGTCAAATGTTGTGACGTTCCCTCCGCTCCTGGGATTTTTTTCGTCCTTCAGCATCTGTTCCTTTTGCCACTTCCCTCTATTTTTGCAGGCAGTAGCTGCAGCAGCGAGGAGATGGCTTGAGGGGGAAGCTAACAACCCTAAATTGAACTGTTGTCCCACGAAGCCTGGCTCATGGATGATGGATTTAGTGCTGGGTCCCCCGAACGCAGCCATAAACCCAGCCATGGGTGGAGACCTGCCCTGCAGGACCCCCCTGAACCCCAGGACAGCCACGAGACTTCCACGTGGGTGTCAGCCCCAGAGAGAGGAGAAGATGCCCATGGTCACCTCTGGCAGTGGCACTGGGGAAAGGAAATACAATTTTCTAGAGGAATTATTAAGCAAATGGAACCAAATCACAGAATGATTTTGGCAGAAGGAACAAACATGGGAAAACACGTAAAACACTTCTCAGCTACTTCTCAGTGAAGACTCAGGACTTCTCTAAAGAATTATCTATTCTAAGTTTCTCTTTTTCTTTTTAATTTCCCTTTTTTTGTCCTCTACAATGGATGAATGAAGTGAAAAATAATTGAAACTCATTTCAAGATAAATTCAACACTCTGCTTTGCACCAGCACCAATTTTGGGGTGTTGCAGTGGTAGAGAAACAAAGGACAGTGATGCCAGTGGGAACTGGGGCTGGAAGAGAAGGTCTGACCCCCTCTGAGACCCTCAGCTTGACTTTGGGCAGGACCAGGGTGAAATGAAAACCGACAACGTGGTTAATTTTGATGACTTGAGATCATCTCTAGGGAGAGGGAATAAGGGAATCATCTCCTCTACAGTTCCTTCAGGGCCATCAAAAAACCTTTGCCAGGGCCACAGCCCCACATTGTCTGCACAGAGTTTCCCATCGTGGAGAAGATTCCTTTGCCCAGAGAAGGCGGGTAAAGCTTCTCCCTGTGAGCTGATGGCAGCTCAGCAGCCTGTGCCCACCACCCACTGTGCAGGGGGAAATGCTCCACCACCCAGCCCTCCCCTCCCTCAGCCATCACCACCAGCACTCACCGGCAGCCCTGGGGGTCCTGGCAGCCCTGGGGGCCCTGGCCTCACATGATCCTGTTGCCCACGTGCCACCACGGGGATGGAGTGTCCTGCGCGGGCAGTGCCATCCCCGAGCCCTGGCACAGAGGGTCTGGCTGCTACCAGAGGAAGCTCTGCTGTCCTCACAGGACCTCTGGGCACGTGTCCTTTGGGAGCAGCTGCCTGACGTGCTGCCAGGACCTTGGGGAAGGTGTGGGGCAGCAGGTTGGGGATGGCATGGCCGGGTTTGCCAGGCTGGAGCCGCTGCCGAGTGCCCGTGTTCCCTGCCAGCTTCTCCGTGGTGATGTTTTCCTCCTGAAGGTCCTTCTTGGCTGCTCTGTGTGTCTTCATGGAGCCTCCTGGGTGGATAAAAGCCATGCCATAACATGTAATAATAATAATAATAACAGGTATCCCTAATAAAGGATAAAAGAGCCACCAGGTTCCCAGGAATCTCCACGGAGAAAGGGAGCAAACCTTGACCATGGACCCACGTGCTGCTCCTGCCCAGCCCTGGCCTGCCAGGGCCTGTGATTTTATTATAGGTGGAGTTGAGCAGCTCAAAGCCTTCATCCTCAATAGAAAGGCTGCCCTCCTCCTCCTCCTCCTCCTCCTCCTCCTCCTCAGCTGATGGTATCTCGTGAGCAGAGAGTGAAGCCAGGGCGCTCCCATCAGGTTGGAGGTTGAGGGTTTCCTGAGGGTCCTCCCATGTCCAAGGTGGCCCCAGGGTCAAATCTGAGCTGGTGAGTCTGGAATCCTGGAAAGGAAGGCAGAAAAAAAAAATGAAGTTTGAAGATTTCACTTGTTTTTCTCTCTTTCCTGCTCAACACATGGAGTCACCATCCCTGGGAGTGTTCAAGAAATCCCTGAAAATGGAATTTAGTGCTATGGTTTAGTTGACATGGTGGTGGTTGGTCAAAGGTTGGGCTCAGTGATCCTGGAGGTCCTTTCCAACCTTAATGACTCTGTGATCCCTAATTTCCCACGTGCACAAACACCGCTGGGAGGGACGAGACAGAGCACAGCTTGTGAGCCCCAGGCAGGACCCCCCGAGCTCTGGGGCAGCTCATCCTCCCCAGGCAGGGCAGTTCAGCCCCCTACAAACCCAAACTCCACAAGGGACACGAGCCAAGTGCCAGCCTGGGCCACATCAACATGGAGCTCCTTCTCCCAGCCCCCCTGCAGGGATCCCCCACCCTGAGTGTGTCTGCAGGAGGAGCATTGAGAGAAGAATCCCAGAACAGTTTGGGTAAAAGGCACCTTGAAGATCACGTTGTTCCAACCACCATGGGCAGGGACACCTTCCACCAGCCCAGGTTGCTCCAAGCCCTGTCCAACCTGGCCTTGGACACTTCCAGGGATGGGGCAGCCACAGCTTCTCTGGGCAACCTGTGCCAGGGCCTCACCACCCTCACAGGGAGGAATTCCTTCCCAACATCCCATCTAAAACTACTCTCTTTCACTTTGATCCCATTCCCCTTGTCCTGTTACTCCATTCCCAAATCCAAAGTCCCTCTCCAGCTCTTTTGGAGCCCCTTTAAGCACCAGAAGGGGCTCTGAGATCTAATGACAGAAATCCAAGTTTGAGAGCAACTACTAAAACAACTGCAGCAAATCCACAGGGTGACACCAGGGATCAGTCTGTCCCTTCAGCCTTTCAGTTTGCTGCTTCTGCATTTTCCAAGGCTCCTGGTGGTCTCAGGGGAATGGTGCTGGCAGATGGGAGGGGAGCTCACAGCTCCCACCACACATCTTCCCAATCCATCAGCTCCCAGGGTTGGGAAGGGATGACAGGCACAAGCCCAAGTGGAGCCTCCTGGAGGCTGGCAGCTAATTAATTTAAGGCAGTGGCTTGCAAGGGGCTCATTCTCTCTTCAGCTGCCACATTAGATGGTCTCTGCAGGTCTCAAGGGGCTCCTTCAGCCCTAAAACCACCAGCAGAGCCCAGGGATGGAGAACAGCAATGTTGGTAGAAATATCTACACTCCAGACTAAAGAACTGACTGTGAAAAGGGAGATAAACTGCAGAGTTCCCTGCATTTGCAAATCCCACCGGTTTTACCCCCAGCACCGGTGCCGGTGTCTCAGCTGGGGCTTGAACACTCACTGACCACGGCTTGGGTGGTGGGTGGCTGTGAAGGTCCCTCAGCTCTGCTGGAGCAGCTGGCAGGGTTCCCATCAGCCCCACATGCCCACCACCCCCTCCTGGAGCTCGTTCCGTGCTCCAGCTGAGCTCCACAGGGCACCGACATCCCGGACAAGGCACCGGGAGGAGCGGGTGGGACCCAGGCCTGGCCGGGGGCTCCTCGGGGCCGGGGCCACGGAGCCGAGGAGGAACAGGCTGAGAGGAGTCACTAGAGGGAGATGCAGGCCCACACTTGCCTTGCAGGGCGGAGAAGGGGAGCAGAGTGGTACAAGGACATCATTCCCATCGTCCTTCCCATCTCCCGTCGGTTGAACCCATTCCCCGGCTCCGGTTCTGCTCCGCGCCACGGGCACAAGAGCTCGGGAGCACCAGGGTGGGTTTGCACGAAGAGCAAGTAGAAAAACCACCAATTTCACTGCCAGAACTGGTCGTTCTTCAGGTGAGAACCCAGTGGTACTGCTGGGTCAGGGGAGCTGGCTCTGGCCAAGCCCCACTCGGGAGGACCAAAGGCAGCAGGAGCTGCTGAAGCTCTTCCTTTGCTGCCAGATGCCACACCACCAGCTTGGAGATTTCCAAACTCTTCCCCCATCCCAAACGGAGAGGAAAAGCGAAAATTTTAATTTTTCCAAGTTCAAAAGTCAAGTTTGAAGAGTTTCCTTCACAAACAGCTGAAGTGCTTTGCTCTCTGTTATGAAAAGTTCTGGGGGAGGGTCCTGTCTTTGTTTGTTACATTTAATTTGTTGGTGATTTAGAAAAGGAAAAGAACGACCCTAAAGCATCAAAAGTAGAGTGGGCAGCAGGGCAGGGGGGATTCTACCCCTCTGCCCCTCAGGTGAGACCCCCCTGCAGAGCTGCTCCAGCCCTGGGGAACAGCACAGCAAGGACATGGAGCTGCTGGAGAGAGTCCAGAGGAGGCACCAGGATGATCAGAGGGCTGGAGCAGCTCTGCTGGGAGGAAAGGCTGGGAGAGTTGGGATTGTTCAGCCTGGAGAAGAGAAGATTTTGGGGTCCCCTAATTGTGGCCTTCCAGTGCCTAAAGGAGCTACAGGAAAAATGGAGAGAGACTGTTTACAAGAGCATGGAGCAATAGGGCAAGGGGGAATGGCTTCCCACTGATAGAGGGCAGAGTTAGATGGGATATTGGGAAGAAATTCCTCCCTGTGAGGGTGGTGAGGCCCTGGCACAGGTTGCCCAGAGAAGCTGTGGCTGCCCCATCCCTGGAAGTGTCCAAGGCCAGGTTGAGGCAATCTGGTCCAGTGGAAGGTGTCCCTGCCCATGGCAGGGGGTGGAACTGGGTGATCTTTCAGGTCCCTTCCAACCCAAACCATTCCATGTTTCTATGATCTCCAGCCAGCTCCCTTCACCCATCAGATGCTCTCAGATATTCCCTTGGACACCCACACTTCACTCTCCAGGTGGGCTTGTGACCCTCACAGCCCTCAGGAGCAAAGGAAGGTGAAGACTGTGTGTCCTAACAGTGTCCAGGTAAAATCCAAGGAAATTGAGGAAAGCAAATGGCAAAAGCTCTGCACAAAATCATAGGAACAAAGAGCCTGGAGAGGACAGGCTGCCATGGAGCTGTTTTCATCCAGAGAAATGCTGGTGCAGAAGGAACGAGCCTGCAGACCTCGGAACAAATTAGAACATGTTGCCAATTAAATCACAGCGGTTTTGCTGCCTTCAAGGTGGAGGGAAATCAGGCTTCAAGTGGTGAGAGCAGGGAAGAGCCAGGACTGCTCCTCCTGCATGGGCAGCTGGACATGGAGCATGGAATCCAAAGATCACAGAATTATTAGATTGGAGAAGACTTCCAAAATCATTGAGTTCAGTTGTTAATCCAGCACTGCCAAGGCCACCAGTAAACCACGTCCCCAAGTGCCACAGCTACATGGCTTTTAAATCCCTCCAGGAGTGGGGACTCCATCACTGCCCTGGGCAGCTGTCCCACTGCCTGACCATCCTTTCCAGGAAGAAATTATCCCTGATGTCCAAGTTGAGCCTCCCCTGGCACAGCTGGAGGCTGTTCCCTCTCCTCCTGTCCCTTGTTCCCTATGAGCAGAGCCCGACTCCCCCAGCTCCCCCCTCCTGTCAGGGAGTTGCAGAGCCAGAAGGTCCCCCCTGAGCCTCCTTTGCTCCAGGCTGAGCCCCCCCAGCTCCCTCAGCTGCTCCTGCTGCTCCAGCCCCTTCCCCAGCTCCATTCCCTTCCCTGGACACGCTCCAGCCCCTCAATGTCCTTCTTGTAGAGAAGGGCCCAAAACTGACCCCATGATTTGTGGTGTGGCCTCAGCACTGCCCAGCACGGGAGGAATTTGCTGGAATAGGGGTTGATTGAAGCCATGCAGCCTCTTTATGGTTGGGTTCAGTGATTTTAGTGGTCTTTTCCAACCTACATGATTCCACTGTCCACCCAGGTGAGCCACTGCATGGCCAAACATGGCCCAGCCAGGCAGAGAGCAGCAGCATCCCAAGTTAAATCACTTCCCAAATACACCAGAATCAATGAATATTCTATATGTTATATTCTATAACATATCAGCCAGATCTCAAACCCAGTCAGGAGCCACCTTGTCATTAACTTCAACTGACTTGGTTTGTGCTCCTGGTTCTGTTTAAGCAGGATGGTTGGAGCTGCTGGTGGGCAGTGAAGAGCTGTAACACACAGGCTCTAAAATAACACCTTTAAATTTATTTTTTTTTTTAACTAATAGCATTAAAAAAACCTCCCATAGCTTATTTTATAAAGTCCTTTTGGGCAAGAAATCAAATGGCTGCAGGAAAAGCACTCTGGCTAAAACTCAGCTCCATCATTTGGACATCTTAAAACGGGTTCAGCTGGTAATGATGAGAACCACGTTCCCCACAAGGTCACCTTCCCAAGAGGAGCCAAAGGAGGGACCTGCAGGCAGCTGGGGCTCCCCCTCAGCCCAGCCCAGCACTGGGCTCTGTCCCAAAACCCCTCAACAACTCAACAGCTGCTCACCTCTCCAGCACCTGTGCCATGTCCAGAAGACATTTTTGGGAAGACTGAACCCCCAAATGGGACATACAACTGCAGTTGAGCCAGGTGGGTGCCCACCAACCCCTGGGGTGGAGGGAGACCCTCTGGGCTTCACCATGGCCAAGCTCCCACCTGGAGCTGCCTTCCAGCCAAGACCTTTGCTGATAACAGAGACAGCAACACCCACCAAAGCCACAAAAGAGAGGATTTGGGCACTGGATCAGTGCTCTGGGGAAGGGGCAGAGGGCAGGAGCTGCTCAAGGCTTTGCTGCTGCAGGGATTCAGCAGCTTCACGAAGGACAAGGACACACAAGTTCAGGGCACAGCTACAGCAAGAGGAAAACCTCGCTGGGTGATCCCACATTCCCTCTCACACACACGGGAGGTCACACACATCCATCTCCAACAGGGGCACCAGGGCACCGTGCCCAGGTGTTCCCTGCCCCAGGGGGGCACAGTGCCCTGCCCTGGACCCCGTGTCCCACCATCCAGGAGGTGCTGGAGCGTTTTCAGGACCTGTTCCCCTCCTCCATGGAGACTGGTGTCCATGGGCTGCCATGGGAATGCCTGGAGCAAGAAAGCTCTTCAAATCAATGGGCTGTTACATGTTTAA